CTCCATGTTTGCCCAAGAAGCCTCCAAGACCGCCCAAGATGGCCTCAAGATGACGGCAGACGGCCCAAGAGGGCCTCCAGGAAGGCTCGAAGAGACCAACATCATTCAGTTTCTTTTGTTCTTGAAGGATTTCAGCGTTTGCTTGTTTTCGGCCTTCCGACAGGCCGAGAGCCCTCCTCCTCCTCCTCCCTCCTCCTCCTCCTGCTGCTCCTCCTCCTCAGGAGGAGGAGGAGGCGGAGCAGGAGGAGGAGAGAGGAGGAGGAGGAGGAGGAGGAGGAGGAGGAGGAGGAGGAGGAGGAGGAGGGGGGAGGCAGGGAGGAGGAGGAGGAGGAGGAGGAGGAGGGAGGAGCAGGAGGAGGGAGGAGGAGAGGAGGAGGAGGAGGAGGCGGAGGAGGAGGAGGAGGAGGCGGAGCAGCAGGAGGAGGAGGAAGAGGAGGAGCAGGAGGAGGAGAAGGAGGAGGAGGAGGAGAAGGAAGAGGAGGAGGAGGAGGAGGAGGAGGAGGAGGAGGAGGAGGAGGAGGAGGAGGAGAAGGCCCACAATAGGCCATGATGGCCAAGAGGTGATGGGCGTCATCGTTTTCTTATTCATGGTTTGGCCAATCGGCGCGCGGCCCTCGCCCCCCCCCCCCCCCACTAAGGAGTAGATCTTTGCTGCTATTGGAGCCTGTGTCGAGCGAGCGGCATTTCCCCGCAGGGCTTACCGCCGCAAGCAGTTGCATGAAGCAGAGGTACAGAGCCAGACCTCCCCACTCCCGCCCTCCCTTCTGCTCATTGTCGAAACGCCGAATAAGAAACGTTCACCTGTCTGCAGCTGCTGCTACCCCTCGGCGGCGAGCGAGGGGGGAAGCAAGAAGGAGAAGTCCTCAGAAGGCGGCGGCGGCGGGGCTTCTCGGAAGCCCTCCGGCCTTCTGAGAATTGTTTTTGGCGTCTTCGGGGAAGGCTTGGCAAGTTCCTCAGAAGGCCTGGGCCCCTTCTCACTTTCCCCCGAGGCTCGCCGTCGAGCCATCCCCTCCGCGCTGCACTCGAGCCGGACTCGGAGAGCTGCGCGTGCTTTCGGAGGAGTCGAGCTCGGCCCGCACTGCGCCATCCTCCTGCTCCCCTCGGCGGGGGCTCGCGGACAAGAGGACCCTAAGAATCCAGGGAAGTGGGCCGCCTCGGAGGTGCTCCGGCCCGCGCAGGACCGCGGCCTCTCGCGGGCTCCGCGCGCCGCCCGGAGAGATTCGGAGCGCCTCGCGCACGGTCGGGCCGAGGTACAAGATCGAGGTCGATTCGGGGAGGGTGCCCTAATTCGGAGGTTGATAGGCCTCCTACCCTGACACGTCGATTAAGGAATTGGCTGTTTTCGGTTCGCGAGAGGGCGTCGCGGCCGTCGTTTTTGCGGGTCCAGGTCCGTCGGTTTCGGTCCCGGGCCGTTTACACTAAGGGGAGGCTTACTAAAGGGAAGCTTGTCCACCGCCGACTAATAGTCTTCGTGCTTGTTGGATGTTCTTGTGCATCCTGGGGGAGGGTTCCTCGAATGTTCTTCAGTTTGGCCCGCGGACGGTCTCATGTTCTTGAAGTGTGTTGTTGTGTCCTGGGTCTCGCCGCAATCCCACCAGCCCATCCAAAAACGATGCCCTGGCGAGTCGCCCTGATCAGGGATGTGGAGGAGCATGCACTGGAATAGTGGGCGGAAAGGGCTGGGGAAACCGCCATACCCCAAGGGGGAGAATGGAGGAGGAATCGCAGGAGGAGGAGGAGGAGGAGGAGGAGGACGAGGAGGAGGAGGAGGAGTAGGAGGAGGAGGAGGAGAGGAGGGGGAGGAGGAGGAGGAGGAGGAGGAGGAGGAGGAGGAGGAGGGAGGAGGAGGAGGAGGAGGAGGAGGAGGACGGGGAGGGGGAGGAGGAGGAGGAGGAGGAGGGATTGGCCAACGTGGGAACGCAAGATTCGCCGCTTGCTCTTCCCTTGTCCACGAAGGCGGATGTCTCCGCTTGTTTTGATGCAGATCACGGATTTGAGTTTCCCTGCAGAATTGCCTTCTAAATTTCATCGGCTGCTAAATTTCGCAGGCACCGATGGGGTCTGGGCGTAGATCGCCCAGCACCTCAAGTCCATGCTTGGCAGGGCTGAGATCCCGCTCGACTGGTTGGAGTGGGCCAGCGGCTCCTTCCTCCACAGTTTGGAGGGGGCCCAGTCCAGGCTCGAACGACGAGCCTACGAAAGCGGGGCATCCGTGGTGGAGGAGCTCCGTCGTGTTGGGGGGGGGATGCCGATGTGCCGCGGGAGCGGTGGCAACGGCGATGCGTGGACGTTTTCCAACACCGCGAGGCAGCGCTTCTTCATCGACACCTCCATCGTCAGCTCCTGGACAGGGCTATACCTGCGTTGCTGGGCCTGAGAAGCAGGATACCCCCGCCCGTCCAGGCCGCGGTCCTGCGGGGTGATTGCGACGGCTGGACTGCGGGCGCCCGCGCGAACTTCACCAGGGGCTGCCTGTTTCAGTGCGGCCGGGGTCAGGAATCACTTCGCCTCCTCCTCCTCATCCTCCTTCCTCTTCTCCTCCCCTTGCCTCTCCTTGCTCCGGGCGCGGCGCCGACGCGTTTTATGTGGGATCTCATTTAATTTTAACCGCCCGAATTTACGACCCATTGGCCATCTCTGTTCCTGTCCTAGCCCAGGGCCATGGCCGATCTTCGGGCGCCCGCGTGAACTTCACCAGGGGCTGCCTGTTTCAGTGGGGCCGGGGGCAGGAATCGCTTCGCCGCGGCGCGCGCTGCCAGGTCGTCGAAGAACTGGTGCCGAGTCGCGCGCGCCTCGCCCCGGCACGCCCCGGCTTGAAGTCTGACGATTCCTTGCTCGTTGCGACAGGTTTCGGCCGGAGCTAGCAGGACGTTTTGGGTGGTGAGGGCGTTGCGTCTCTAAGCGACGTCCCGTGCCACGAACGCCGCGCGTCGCGGGGACGCGGGCCTTTCGCGATGCAGCAGCGGGGCATTTTTGTTCCATCGGGGCTCTCCGACGTGTGCGCGCTGGCGGGACTGGCGGTGCTTGAGAACGCCGGGCCCCCACGCGTTGGCCGAGGCGGTGCAGGTTTTGGCTTCTCCTGCTCTTCTCCTGCATGTCCGTCCCGACCCGGGGGGGCTGGCGCGCGCCCGCTGGCTTCACCTCGCGGGCCTTTTCTTGCGGAACACGCGCTGCGCCTTCTGGCTCCCGCCGTGACGGCCCGGAGCATTCCGACACGTGCAGTGCGCCAGGGTGTCACTGTGGTTCGAGCTCGCGTCTTTGCGCTTCGTGGAGTGGGTTTGTAGCCCCCTTGAGGGGAAGCGGATTTGCCATCCAGTCTCATTCATTTAGACCTTCGACAGGCATCGTGGGCTTGTGCGCCGAGGTTGTGTTCATGGTGGAAAAAATGCAGCGCCTCTGCCTCCTGCTCCCCCCTCGTCCTCCTCCCCCGCCTCGTCGGAGCCGAAGGTCTGGAAACTGTTTTTTTTCCACGGTGGCACCGCCGGGCCATAGGGGCGCCCTGATTGACAGGCAGTCGGGCGACGACCCCAGTGCCTAGTTTGCCCTCCCTCCTCCTCCTCCTACTCCTCCTCCTTCTCCTCCTGCCCCTCCTCCTCCTCCCCCTCCTACTCCGCCTCCTTCTCCTCCTCCTCCTCCTCCTCCTCCTCCTCCATCCTCCATCCTCCATCCTCCATCCTCCATCCTCCATCCTCCATCCTCCTCCTCCTCCCCCGTCCTCCTCCTCCTCCTCCTCCTCCTCCTCCTCATCCTCCTTCCTCTTCTCCTCCCCTTGCCTCTCCTTGCTCCGGGCGCGGCGCCGGCGCGTTTTATGTAGGATCTCATATTCTTTCAACCTCTCGAATTTACGACCCATTGGCCATCTCTGTTCCTGTCCGAGCCCAGGGCCATGGCCGATCTTCGGGGCCATGGCTAGGTTTCCCGGCTCGCGGGCCGCTTTCTTCTTCCTCCCCCTCCTCCTCGGCCGCTCGCCCGGGCATGAGTCGTCACGAGTAGCCGACGCCTGCAGGAGGCCCGACTCCCGGGTTGCCCGAATTTCTGGCCAGAGCTTCGGCCGCGTTCGCAGGCTAGCCTTGCGACGAACAGGATGGTGGTCGGCGCGTTTGGCGAGGCACGTTGCCAATGCTATCGCTGTCCGCTCCCATCCCCTGCTCCTACGAAAACAGACATCTACATATACATACGTATGTATGTATGCATATATATATATATATATGTATTTATAGATATGTATGTATTTCTGGCTATAGGTGGATACATGTATCGATAGCCATGCCATCATATCGCCCAGTATACAGAGACGGACACATAGATCGATATATATATATATAGAATCCATCGTGGTCTCTCGATGTGTGGGTTTTTCTCGTGAGTTGACTTGAACGTCTAGTGCAGCTCAAACGCAACGTCACCTGCCAAACCTCCTCCTCACCCAAAGGGTGGTCTATGGAGGTATCCTCTTCTTTATCGGGGTGAAGTGCGACCCGCACCCATCCTGCCACGGGCGGTGCAGAGGGTCAGGACGGCATGCGGTCTCGCAGTCTTGCGGGGCAGTTGGGCTCCGTGCTCTGTCTGGGCGTCGTGGGCACTGTGATGAGCCCAATTACGGACGCCTCGTCTGGTTTCGTGGCGTTTTACGCCTCTGGAATACCCTCCCTTCAGAGATGGTGCTGCGTCGTCGTCGTCGTCGTCGTCGTCGTCGTGCCCTTGCTCTTCATTGCGTGCCACGTCTCGCTCCTCTCTGCTGCCTCCATGCCTCTGGCTGCAGCTCCCGATCTGCCGCTCCCGCTTCTGTGTTCCCCCTGTGGGTTCTGTCTCCTTTCCTTTGCTGCTGCTACCGCCACTGCTAGTGCTACGGCTAGTGCTACTGCTATTGCTACTGCTTGTCTTCTTTACTGTCCTTTTCCTGCACCTACCCGTCCCCCCGTCTCCTCCTCTTCCTCTTCCTCCTCCTCCCCTACCCACCTTTCCTGGCGCAGGAGAAGCAGCGATTGCAGAAGCAGATGCAGATGCAGCAACAGCAGCAGCAGCAGCAGCAGATGCAGGGCATGATGATGCCCATGATGCCCATGATGATGCCCATGCAGGACCGAGAATGTGTTGTTCTCGTTGGGTTGAGGGGTAGGATGTGTAATCATATAAAAGTATATATATATATATATATCGGCTTTTCGCATTCACCACGGTGAAGGTGCTCTGATATCTTGCTGGCGAGGCGCAGTCAGACAGAAATCGGGGGGGGGCGGGGCGTTCTTGCTAGTTAGTGGTATGGCGGGCGCGCATGTGCCGCACAGGGTAGTCGACTCGGTTTATCACTGTCTAACATATGGGTCGTCTACTTTTCCTTGAGCAGCTTCTGTACCACGCTTGGACCAACGTTTTGTTTTATATGAGCCTGCGCGGTCAATCATTCTTTTCTGCTTGACCTGTCAAGTTTTCCAACTTTCAGTGAGCGCTGAGTTGACGTTGACCTGAGTCTGGTATTCCATGTTCTTTTCAGTTCGTCCCCCTTCACCTCCACCTTCCCCTCCTCAGGTGCTCGTCCTCGTCGCCCTGCGTAGCTTTTTCGTGGTCAGCAGCGGTACTCAGCAGCACTGTGCTCCCGTCGTCCTTTGCTGGCCAGAGTATGCCGGCCCTTTTGTATTGTGGTCGTGCTGGCATTGGCGTTGCTGGTAGTTCCGCTTAGCCCCGTTGCTTTGCCGTGGTGCTGGCTGTAATTGCCAGTAGCCCTAGACGCCCAGGGACTATTGAGGATCCGAGGGCGCTCCACGACATCCCTCCTCGAACTTAAACGCGAGTCTTTCCCGCGAAGTGGCGGCGCCCCAGGGCCCAGAAATTTCAATGCTCGCGCCGACATTGGCGACTGCAATCACAAAAATCGGACCCCGCGGGTCGCGTTTCGCGCGTCGATCAACGTTTGAGAATTCGTTTCGTTTCGAGGAGGGTTGTAGTGCCTAAGGCACGGTGGTGGATGCGTATACTGTCCGTTTTCAAGGACCCATTCATGCGTTGTGGGACACAAGGCGGTAACGGTGAGAGTTGGGTTGCCTGGAAGGGTCGCTATGCACAGAGTCTGTGGTTCCGTTGTCAAGGGGGATCATGAGGACCCATTTCTTGTCTGCACACGGCGCTATCACTTCACCGGTGTAAAGTGGCATGCGGTAGTGCCGTGTTTGTGCGTGTTGATGGTTTCCTGATGTGTTTTTGAGTGTGCACGCAGAGGTGCTTGCCTAGTACTCCTGTCGTCTTATTTTCGGTGGTGCTTATTCCGAGCACGTGGATGCCAGTGTGCTCGCATCTTGCCGCTGGCTACATCTCATTGTTATGGAATGCAGTGCCCGATCCACGGTAGGCGCAGATGATGCAGATGCAGATGATGCAGCGGCAGATGGTCCGTTCCTCAGCTGCACACGCCAACAGGAAGTGAGTTGTGGGCATGCTAGGTGGCTCAACGTCCACGGTACTGTAAGCTGCTTTCTTGTGCGCGACATGCGCGACATGTTTTGACATTGATGAGGCGAATGAGGGGGAGGGGAATGAAGATGTAGAGGAGGAAGAGGAGGAGGAGGAGGATGAGGAGGAAGAGGAGGAGGAGGATTAGACTGAGGACGAAGGTGAATTGAATAAGGAGTAGGGTTGGTGATGATGAGTAGGAGGGGGGAGGTTGGAGGCCGATCGATGAGGGTTCTCGGGTGCAGAGTGACGACAAAAACGTGCCCTTCTGGGCGCACGGAGAAGGAGGGGACAATGAGAGCCGTCACCAGTCCAAAGGGAGAAGAGTAGGAGGGTGAGGATGATACCGAGTTGGAGGAGGATGTAGTGGAAGTGGAGGAGGATAATCAGGAGGCCATGCCTGAACTTCGCGTTTGGAGAGTACTGGTGCCCATGCAGACGATCAGTGTCCAGAGGACCAGCTTTGTTCGCATGACGTTTCGAAAGGGAACGGATGGCGGGGGTTCGATGGGAAAACATGGTGTGCATTTGGGTCGTCGTGCGCAGAGCGTTTGCCACACAGCGACCACACCTGTTGCCAGAGCAATTGAGGGCGAGATCTGTCGCGCCAAATGGTCACAGGCCGCCAGGAACAACGTACATCCGGACTAGAACACTGCACGAGTCAGGGCAATCTGCCTCGGAGCAGCGACGCGCTGCAGAGGATGAGACGAACAAGTCGTGCTGATTGTGCCCGCGGCATGGCAGATCTTGTCGGAGTCCTCCTGAGGACACCGAGCTTCTTGCACCCAGCACGCGCGATAGCGCCGGCCAACGCCTGAAAGAGACACTGACGAACCAGGATGCTCAGAAGCAGCACGAGGAGGAGGGGCAGGGGAGGGAGGGAGGCAGGCTGGGGAGGGATGGGGAGGGAGGGAACGAGAGAGGGAGTGGTGGGCGGGAGGGAGGGAGGCACAGGGCATAGGGAAGTGAGGGGGGTGAGGGAGGGAGAAGAGGGGGGTGGCAGGCGGGGGGGTGGGGTGAGGGAGGGAAAGAGAGATGGCAGACTGGCAGGAGAGGGAGGTGTGGGAGGGAGGAGGGAGGGAGGGGGTATGGGGAGGGGGGGGGGGTGAGGGAGGGGGGAAGGGTTGCCTGGGGAAGCGTGGCGCGCCCCCGCGGGCGCCGCCAAGGGCATGGGCGGCTGCGGCATGGGCATGGGCGGCTGCGGCATGGGCGGCTGCGGCGGCATGGGGATGATGGGCGGCGGCGGCTGCGGCTGCGGCATGGGCATGGGCGGCTGCGGCATGGGCGGCTGCGGCATGGGCATGGGGGGGTTCGACCAGCAAGGCCCCGCGCGCTGGCGGGCTCGGGGCAGTCTTTCTCTCGTCCTCGTCCTCGCTCTCGCTCTCGTCCTCGTCCTCGTTCTCGCTCTGTCCTCGTCCTCGTCCTCATCTCGCTCACGCTCGTCCTCGTCCTCGTCCTCGTCCTCGTCCTCGCTCTGTTTGGCGTCCTCGGTCGTCGTTTTTCTGTCTCGCTCGCATCCCGTTGGACTCGTCGGAGAGGCCGTCGTTGCCCTGGTCCCTGGCGATGCGTGAGCCGGAAGAAACTGAAGTGGTTCGAGGAGCCGCTGCCTGGGGGTTGAAACTAATTTGGTGGCCTTCGCAGTCGGGATGCTGCATGCCTCTCAGGCCAACACATGGCCGAACGGGCGGGTCGGTGAACCTTATCAGCGGTGCTGTTTCAATGATTCCTCTTCAGCTGTCTCAGATGCCAGCTTGGGCTATATATTGTCCAATCTTGGAACCCGTATTCCCGATTTCTTTTTTGGATTCAGAGGTGTACTGACGACCATCTTTGAAAACCCCTGGTTGATCCGTGAAGCTGAGTGTCAGCGGCCCTTGACATGTTTCCAAGTCTTCGAGGCTTCAACATTGAGGAGGTATCTTTGCCCACGGTGGCTGACGGCCAACTGTGGTTGACGGATTCCTCCATTCGGGGGGTCACCCCAGATTTTGACGGTGGAATTTGTTTCTATACTCATTAGGGCAGGTCACCATTCTGGGTTACCCGACTTGTACCCTTATTGATTCGAACGTGCATGTATCTTTTTGGTGAACAGCGTCGTGGACGTCCAATCTATATGGGATCAGTGTCTTGCACTGCTTGCGCAGGAAGAGAGAGAGAGAGAGAGAGCCTTTCTGGCCGAAGTCACGGACACAATGTGGTCTCGCGCTTAGAGATTCAGAGTTGCAGTCCAGTGCTAGTTGAGCGACGCAAAATCACGGAGTCGTCTGCGCCGACATTGGCGCGTAAGCTGCCCGCGTACTAAAGGTCGCGCGTAAGCGCCCTCGTCTCCAGTGTGGCGCGGCGTGCCGGGCTCTCCGCCCGCGTAAGCTGCGGCGCAGGGTCGCCGTGCCATCTTGCGTGCGACCCGTTTTTGATCGTCGCTCGGCTGGGAAGCGCGCCTGCCTGGTATTGATGGGGCCTGCTTTCCACCACCACCATAAGTTGAAGGGGGATGGGGTCCTCCTCCTACTCCTCCCCATCCTCCTCCTCCTCCTCCTCCATCTCCTCCATCTCCTCCTCCATCTCCTCCTCCTCCTCCTGCTCCTCCTCCTCCTCCTCCTTCTCCTCCGACGTTGGCGCGTAAGCTGCTCGCGTAGGGTCGCGCGTAAGCGCCCTCGCCTCCAGCGCAGCGTAACGCGCGCTGGCGGCCCGCGTCAGCCACCGCGTAAGGTCGCTGTGCCATCTCGCGCAAGTACCCTTTTTGATCGTCGCTCATCTGGAGGGCGTCGTCGTGGAGTGACAGATCCCTCCAGCGGGTCCAAGACGGAATTTGCACGGGGCCCTCAGCGGGTGTGATGACGGGCCCTGACGGGCCCCGCCCCCGGCGGTACCGCGCTCTCTCTCTCTCTCTCTTTCTCTCTTTCTCTTTCTTTATCTCTCTCTCTCTCTCTCTCTCTCTCTCCGTGGGTCTGACGATCGCAAGCACGTGCTTGCGCGATTCAGACACGGGTGTCATTCGCACTGCTGGTGCTTTTTTTCCTGAACGGGCTTGTCGACCAGTCACCCGGCGCGTTCCATTACTCGCAAAGTGCCTATTCGCAGACGTCCGAGGCACCACATGCCCGCCTCCGACGTGATGGATCGTAGATCCCTCGCGGCGGCGCCAGGCCATGTGCAAGTAGTTGCAGTCGACCCGCACAGTGAGGATGGACACCCTTCCCAAGGGTACCCTTGCACGTCCTTGCCTCCTCGGTCCATCCTGGGCCACTTGCGTTGGCCGCGCCCCGTTCGTGCTCGTGCTGCGGGCCGACTGCACTCTTTTGTGCGAACCGCGGAAGGCGCGCGCTCGCCCAGCCGCGGCCCCTCTGCCGGACCCCGTGCCCCCCCCCCCCAAAGGCCACCTGGAGGGCGTGGTCGTGGAGTGGAGCGACCGAGGCGCCCGCCCGTCCGCAAGGGCCAGCGCCACCGGGGAGGAGGAGGATGATGAGGAGGAGGAGGAGGAGGAGGGGGAGGAGGAGGAGGAGGAGGAGGAGGAGGAGGAGGAGGAGGGGGAGGAGGAGGAGGAGGAGGAGGAGGAGGAGGAGGGGGGGAGGGGGAGGGGAGGGGGGAGGAGGAGGAGGAGGAGTAGTAGAGGAGGAGGAGGAGGAGGAGGAGGAGGAGGAGGAGGAGGAGGAGGAGGGATGGAGAAGGGGGGGCTGCTTCGGGAGGCGCGCGGGCACGGCGGTGCGCGGCGTGGGCTCGGCGGTGCCTCTCTCCGGCCCCTGGCCGCCTCCCGGCCCCTTCGTCCCCTCTCGCTCCTCGGCGCTACCCCTCTGCTCCACCCCCACGCCCCTCACACGTTTCGTGGCCCCATAGGAGCTCCGCCGAAGGTCCCATTGGCACAGTTCGCATGCGTCCCCGCCACTCATTTCGGCACACCCCTCACACGTTTCGTGGCCCCATAGGGGCTCCGCCGAAGGTCCCAGTGGCACAGTTCGCATGCGTCCCCGCCACTCATTTCGGCACACCCCTCATACGTTTCGTGGCCCCATAGGAGCTCAGCCGAAGGTCCCAGTGGCACCGTTCGCATGCGTCCCCGCCACTCATTTCGGCACACCCCTCACACGTTTCGTGGCCCCATAGGAGCTCCGCCGAAGGTCCCAGTGGCACAGTTCGCATGCGTCCCCGCCACTCATTTCGGCACACCCCTCATACGTTTCGTGGCCGCATAGGAGCTCAGCCGAAGGTCCCAGTGGCACCGTTCGCATGCGTCCCCGCCACTCATTTCGGCACACCCCTCACACCTTTCGTGGCCCCATAGGAGCTCCGCCGAAGGTCTCAGTGGCACAGTCTGCATACGTCCCCGCCACTCATATCGGCACACCCCTCACACGTTTCGTGGCCCCATAGGGGCTCCACCGAAGGTCCCGGAGGCACAGTTCGCATGCGTCCCCGCAATTCATTTCGGCACACCCCTCACACGTTTCGTGGCCCCATTGGAGCTCCGCCGAAGGTCCCAGTGGCACAGTTCGCATGCGTCCCCGCCACTCATGTCGGCACACCCCTCACACGCTTCGTGGCCCCATAGGAGCTCCGCCGAAAGTCCCAGTGGCACAGTTCGCATGCGTCCCCGCCACTCATTTCGGCACACCCCTCACACGTTTCGTGGCCCCATTGGAGCTCCGCCGAAGGTCCCAGTGGCACAGTTCGCATGCGTCCCCGCCACTCATGTCGGCACACCCCTCACACGCTTCGTGGCCCCATAGGAGCTCCGCCGAAAGTCCCAGTGGCACCGTTCGCATGCGTCCCCGCAATTCATGTCGGCACACCCCTCACACGTTTCGTGGCCCCATAGGAGCTCCGCCGAAGGTCCCAGTGGCACAGTTCGCATGCGTCCCCGCCACTCATTTCGGTACACCCCTCACACGTTTCGTGGCCCCATAGGGGCTCCGCCGAAGGTCCCAGTGGCACAGTTCGCATGCGTCCCCGCCATTCATTTCGGCACACCCCTCACACGGTTCGTGGCCCATAAGAGCTCCGCCGAAGGTCCCAGTGGCACAGCTCGCATGCGTCCCCGCCACTCATTTCGGCACACCCCTCACACGTTTCGTGGCCCCATAGGAGCCCCGCCGAAGGTCCCAGTGGCACAGTTCGCATGCGTCCCCGCCACTCATTTCGGCACACCCCTCATACGTTTCGTGGCCCCATAGGAGCTCCACCGACGGTCCCCGTGGCGCAGTCCGCATGCGTCTCCCTCACCCAGTACAGCGTTTCGTGGCCCCATAGGAGCTCCACCGAAGGTCCCTGTGGCGCAGTCCGCATTGTGTTGTTCGTTGTCGTTCGCGCTGTGTACCACGCCACTCATTTCGGCACACCCCTAGCACGGTTCGTTGCCTCATAGGGATCACCACCGAAAAAGTGAATCACAATTGCGGTACTCACACCTGCATATGGTTGGGTCCTTCGTCAGGCTATTTTTTGACAAGGAAGGTTGGGGGGAGGCCGCATCGGGTTCGCTGCGCATGCCTCGAATCTGGAGACAGAGTGTGTTTTGTATTGTTTTTTTTTACAAGGGATGGTGGAGGTGGCTCTCATGGACATGGGTTGGCTCCCAGTCGCCTGGGGCTAATAGGGTATATTAATAGGGAACAGTAATCAAGACAGATCCTGCTCGCATGGCTCAGGCCGTCTCGCTCACTCCCACCCGCCTTCCTAAGACATCAGTAGCACCAGGGTATTCCTTTGAATCGCCAATGTGAAGTGGTCGCGGGGTGCCCGCGCATGCTGCAGGTTTGGGGGCTTCGTGTATTTTGTTTGTTTTTTTTTGTGACAGGGAATCAAAACAGACCCCATGTGAGTGACGCTAGGGCGAGGTGCGTCACGCGTGCCGGGCGCGCCACGCACGCCAGGTGCGCCAGGCACCCCTGGGGCCGAAGCGTGCCAGGCACGCCTGGTGCGCCAGATGCGCCACGCGCTCCACGTGCCGCATGCTCCAGCCGCGCCAGGTTCGCCACGATTGGGACACGCGCAAAGAGTGCCAGGTGCGCCCGCGCACTTGACAGAACACATCTGGAAACATCTCGGTCCCCACCATCCTTGCCGAAAACCATATCGCAATCGCGGCGGGGTGGCTATCATGGTGTGTGGTGGGCCTGCGCACACCGTGCAATATGCCAGCACCCCCGCCGTCCCTGTCAAAACTTATGGACAGTGATGGTGGGGTGGCCGCGCATGACCCAAATCTAGCCGCGACGTGCATTTTGTCTATTGTCTTGGCCAGGGATGGCTACCCTGTGCACAGCATGCACTCTCCTGGCGCCCCCGCTGTCCCTGTCAAGAAAGAATGCAAAGTGCTCCTGGGGCCCACGAGAGGGCCCACGAGCATTACCCACGATTTTGCCCCAACGTGTATTATGCATTGTTTCTTGACAGGGATGGTGGGGGGGGGCTCATGTGTGCCCTCATAGGTTCGTGTTGGCTGCCGGTCGCCTGGGGAAGGGGGTGTCTATCAATAGGGAGCAGTGATCTACTGACAGACCCCTCCCCGCAGGCGAAGAAAGGGGCTTGGAAGTGGAAGCGCCCCACGCCACTCACGCCCACAGGGCTGGCGGGCTTCGTGGCCGGGGCTCGC